TAATTTTCACTATGAATTATTCCTGAAATTGTATGTCTATTATTAGACAATCTATGTCTCTCTTCATATGTTTTAAATTGAATTTACAAAAACATACTTTTTTTTTTTATTGAAACTTATTGTTGTCCAACAAAGGATTTATTCACCGAATTCAAAACCAAATTGCTAAATGTTTGTAAAATAACCCATTTATTGAGTATAGTTCAGTTAGAGAACCAGCACATTTAGCCTAAATTTAGCAATTCAGTTTTCAATTCACCACAATTTGATGTTTTATGGATTATCCTCCATGAGTTTGCCTTGACTAAATTACTATACAGTGGCTACACATCATTATCATTAGTCTGACATCATTATCCACAGTTTAAGTCTGTATATTATTGTTATTATTATAATAGGGTATTATAGAAAAGTACAGTTGCAAGAAAAAGTATGTGAACCCTTTGGAATGATTTGGATTTCTGCACAAATTGGTCATAAAATGTGATCTGATCATCATCTAAGTCACAACAATAGACAATCACAGTCTGCTTAAACTAATAACACACAAAGAATGAAATGTTGCCATGTTTTTATTGAACACACCATGTAAACATTCACAGTGCAGGTGGAAAAAGTATGTGAACCCTTGGATTTAATAACTGGTTGAACCTCCTTTGGCAGCAATAACTTCAACCAAACGTTTCCTGTAGTTGCAGATCAGACGTGCACAACGGTCAGGAGTAATTCTTGACCATTCCTCTTTACAGAACTGTTTCAGTTCAGCAATATTCTTGGGATGTCTGGTGTGAATCACTTTCTTGAGGTCATGCCACAGCATCTCAATTGGGTTGAGGTCAGGACTCTGACTGGGCCACTTCAGAAGGCATATTTTCTTCTGTTTAAGCCATTCTGTTGTTGATTTACTTCTATGCTTTGGGTCATTGTCCTGTTGCAACATCCAGCTTCTGTTGAGCTTCAGCTGGTAGACAGATGGCCTTAAGTTCTCCTGCAAAATGTCTTGATAAACGTGGGAATTCATTTTTCCTTCGATGATAGCAATCCGTCCAGGCCCTGACACAGCAAAGCAGCCCCAAACCATGATGCCCCCACCACCATACTTCACAGTTGGGATGAGGATTTGATGTTGGTGTGCTGTGCCTTTTTTTCGCCACACATAGTGTTGTGTGTTTCTTCCAAACAACTCAACTTTGGTTTCATCTGTCCACAGAATATTTTGCCGGTACTGCTGTGCAACATCCAGGTGCTCTTGTGCAAACTGTAAACGTGCAGCAATGTTTGGTTTGGACAGCAGTGGCTTCCTCTGTGGTATCCTCCCATGAAATCCATTCTTGCTTAGTGTTTTACGTATTGTAGATTCGCTAACAGGGATGTTAGCATTTGCCAGTGACTTTTGTAAGTCTTTAGCTGACACTCTAGGATTCTTCTTCACCTCATTGAGCAGTCTGCGCTGTGCTCTTGCAGTCATCTTTACAGGACGGCCACTCCTAGGGAGAGTAGCAGCAGTGCTGAACTTTCTCCATTTATAGACAATTTGTCTTACCGTGGACTGATGAACAGCAAGGCTTTTGGAGATACTTTTATAACCCTTTCCAGCTTTATGCAAGTCAACAATTCTTAATCATAGGTCTTCTGAGAGCTCTTTTGTGCGAGGCATCATTCACATCAGGCAATGCTTCTTGTGAAAAGCAAACCCAGAACTGATGTGTGTTTTTTATAGGGCAGGGCAGCTGTAACCAACACCTCCAATCTCATCTTATTGATTGGACTCCAGTTGGCTGACATCTCACTCCAATTAGCTCTTGGAGATGTCATTAGTCTAGGGGTTCACATACTTTTTCCACCTGCAATGTGAATGTTTACATGGTGTGTTCAATAAAAACATGGCAACATTTCATTCTTTGTGTGTTATTAGTTTAAAGGACCACTCTAGACACCCAGACCACTTCAGCTTAATGAAGTGGTCTGGGTGCCAGTTCCAGCTAGGGTTAACCCATTTTCAGAGAAACTGCTATTTTATAAATGGGTTAATCCTTCCCCCAAAGCCTTTAGCGGCTGTCTCATTGACAGCCGCTAGAGGCGCTTGCGTGATTCTCACTGTGAAAATCACAGTGAGAGCACGCAAGCGTCCATAGGAAAGCATTGATAATGCTTTCCTATGCGACCGGCTGAATGTGCTCACAGCTCTTGCCGCGCGTGCGCATTCAGCCGACGGGGAGGAGAGGAGGAGGATCAGAGGAGGAGAGCTCCCCGCCCAGCGCTGGCAAAAGGTAAGTTTTACCCCTTTTCCCCTTTCCAGAGCCGGGCGGGAGGGGGACCCTGAGGGTGGGGGCACCCTCAGGGCACTATAGTGCCTGGAAAACGAGTATGTTTTCCTGGCACTATAGTGGTCCTTTAAGCAGACTGTGATTGTCTATTGTTGTGACTTAGATGATGATCAGATCACATTTTATGACCAATTTCTGCAGAAATCCATATCATTACAAAGGGTTCACATACTTTTACTTGCAACTGTATGTTGCTAGAATAGTACTCACTGAGGGTTCAGTGTTTTGTTTTTTTAATGACAGTTGCAGGAGAGTAATCATGGTGCGGGGAGGTTAAGTTGTTGACAGTTTAATTGATATGCTTTCCTGAAGAAGTGATTTTTTAAAATGATTTTTTGAAGGACTGGAGACTGAGTGAGTGTCTAATGGAGAAGGGAAGGGAGTTCCACGGGAAAGGTGCAGACCTAGAGAGGTCTTGAAGGTGAGCATTAAAGGTGGGAGAACGCTCACAAATAATTTCACTAGTAAACCTATCAACGTAAACTTAGATTTCTGTCAAAAGTGGATTTTTAAAAAAGTAACTTTGTGACAATGGCAGGTACCTATAATTCTCTGTGTAATTAATAATGTAACTAATTTGGCATATGAAGTACGCATCATCATCTTAGAAAAAAATAACACATTTATTTTTATTGACTTGCAGAATATGAGTCATTCGTTTTACACAAATGAATAGTTTCAGATTATATGAGTAGAGAAAAAAAATCCAATTAATTTGTAATTGTCTTATTGTAAAAGATGCAACTTGAGTTATTATAAAATAAAAGCATAATTTTCTTTTTAATGTAATTATTCAGGAATTCTGAGCAATCGTGAATTCAAGAGGTATGTACATGAAATATATGTTTCTCTGCAGCTTTGACTATTTCAGTCTTCCTTCATACCGATGTCATTACATTTTTCCTTGAATGTCCTTAAGACAATGTCTAACGATGTTTCAAAAATAAAATTTATAGTCATTCAAAGGTCGATCATGCTATTTTTCCCCTTATATGCTGACATTAATGAGCATGCCTTGATGAAGTGTGCCTATAGGAAAATTATCAGGTGTGTTGGTAATCATAAAAAAAAGAAATGATTGACACCTTCAAGTGATTCAATTTCTACTCTTTTGGTGCTTCTGCGAGAATGAATTGTGGAATATTTCAATAAGCCAATATATTCTTTAAAATGTATCAAATTGATTGGTATATAATAAAAAAAAGGAACTATATAGCAAATAAAGTATTTTACAATGGTCATAATCAGTGTTCATCAGTGATTCATAGTTACAATAGTTAATCTGCGACTATTCTACAGGGTTTATTTAATGTCATTTAAATAAACACTCGTTGCACCATAACAACTTAATTGAAATGAAGGTCCCTGGAGTTTTCTTACCTTTAGGTGTTAAACATCAGTTACAGTAGGTGCAACCCCCTTACTAGGTGGATCCCCACCCGCCGTCAGTGGTTTATATTCACAGATGTGTGACAATTACTTGTAGTAAAAGCTAAGTACATTAGACTATCACTAGACAACAGGACACTTTTATATTTCCTAAAGAGTAACTTCACACCTTCGCAGCTTGCATTAAATATTCCTTGGAAAAAATAGGTAATCCCCTAATTAGAGAATCTTCAACTGTTTGGTAAGTTAATTAGGTCAAAAGGCTAAATGATTGCAAAGTTTCTAATGAGAATGATAAACCATCATGTTATTTTCATCATCTTCAAATCTAATTTCAATTTTTATTTTCTGCTATAAATGTTTTTTTTAAAGTGTGATTTACTGTTCAATCTTCTGCTTTTGATTTAATGCAGTATTAATTTTTCAAAAAGATAGAAAAACAAACAACGATTAAAGACAGTCCTAAAGATTTTCTTGTTTTATTCCAGCTGGTGCAAATATAATGGTGTGTTCACTTTTCTGCTATATTGAATAAGAGGGCTACAGGTAAAAAGGCTGACACTGTGACAACCCGCCGGAGTTTGGTTGCTGATAAGGAACTCAGTTGCAGCTGAACAGTACTCCCTTACATTCACAACCCTCATGGGGACATGAAGATAAGAAAAAGGGTGCCAGGTGCAAACTTGGGCACTCATTTTCAGTCAACACGTTTTTGCCCAAATTTTCTGCAATTTATTAATTTGCCAGAGAGCTGAATGAATGAATAGAAAATGCAACGAATGAAACATTTGGACAACATTTCGTCTGCGCTAATCATTCTCCATGCATTCACTTTAGTTTATTGCAATGAATATTTAAAAATAGAAGCTTCCTAAATCTCCCTATGCCCTCCTTACCCTATGGGGGTCAAGATGACTGCCAAATTAGTATAAGGGAGGATAAAAACTTCCTCCTGCTCCTTCCTGCCATGCCGCTAGTAGGGGCATGTCTACTAAACAGCAAGCAGCTACTGGGCACCTAATAAAATAATTAACTAGGGAGGACATAGTGTAATCCCCATGATTCCCCCCTTGCCCCACGGGTAGGGAACATTAAAATTAAACTTTTTTTTATTAAGTGGTTCAGAGTGGTCCCTTAGAGTGACCCTTTAATGCTGCACCGTTGTAAAATGTGTCTGTCATATACATCTCAAGCCATGAGGACTTCCACCCACATAGCCGTTATACTTGTGTAATGAAGGATATACTCATTAGCCTCCACAATAGCCATCATGTACTTCCTCTAGTAGAGTTTACCTAGAGTTCACCAACCACTAGTTTCACCACCAAGCAGTGGCTATTCCTGGCCTGCTATCTCCTTATGGCTCTTTCAGAATCACTGTAACCCAGTTCAAGTGCACAGTAACCACTTTATGAATGGCTTCAGCAAATCTCTCTTCAACATTATCTTCTCCACTGATGCTCACTTACCCCCTTTGGCTCTGTGAAGGTAGTCACCATCACCTGAGCTTTCATATGGACATTTTATGTAGGGGGAAAAAAAGGACTATTCTTATGTTTAAGCCACCCTGTGGGTGCAGAGTGTGTGTGTGTAATATGGTTATTTGGGGTTAAATATTAGTGTGTTCTCCTGTCTTGCTAATGCTTGCAATCAACTAGGTGGATTTGGCTGTGTAGCCTGTACAGTGCCACCTGTTGGTTGCAAGGATCTAGCAACCGCTGAATGCACTACCTGAATAGCAATGATTGCTAATTTGCATATTCTGGTAGATTTGCATATTGCTAATTATGCAGGCAGGAGAGATAGTTTGTGTTAATTAATGTTGTTACAAACTGCCTTTTGTAACAGTTTTTTTCGTGTGACAAATTGCCCTGCTTCCCTGGGTTATGGAGTAGCCTGTTGGCCAGTCACCTTCCATGTGGCTATGACTCTTTGATGTATTTGGCTTTAAAGCCCCTATTCTACCTTCAGACAGACTATTTATGTAGGTTGCTTTATTTCTCTTATGTTTTAGTCACCCTGTACCCATTATAGGTGCAGGGTGTGTGTAATGTAATTGTTTATAGTGTGTGTGTGTGTACTGTGAAATGTATTACCTGCTCTTCTGTACTGCTGAGGTTTGCTACCAACTAGGTGGATTTGGCTATGGATCTTGTCTAGTGCCCTCTGTTGGTAGCAACAGCAATATGCACTACCTGAATAGCAAGACTGGTTCATTTGCATATTCGGGTAGATTTGCATATTGCTAATTCTGCAGGCATGTGAGATATTTTCTGTTAATTATTGTCTCCCCCACCCCTTTAAAAAATATGCCATTGTGTTATAATAAGTCACTGTATGTTGCCTGCTATGATTTGACTGTTTGTAATTTTATTGAGTTTTCACAGTGTTAATGTAATGACCATATGGGCTAGTCCCAAGTAAAATAACGTTTTAGTCAGTTCTTCTTGATCCTCAACACGTAGTCTTGTCTCGTGATTGGAGGGGACAGCTATACTCACACTGGGGATTGCTATGCTCTGCATACTCCCTTGAGCCTTAATCACTTAGCTCTTTTAAGAGCTGTTCCTGTTACGCTCTCCTAGGAGGAGAGGTCTTCCCCACACAGTCCTGGAGGACAGAAGCTAATCCAGGGTGGAAGAAAGACTCCAGTCAAGCTACGGCGGTTGCGGAGTCTGCAGTGGTTGTGGTGTGCGGTGCTCGTGGTCCTCGACGCAAGCTAGGAAGCACCCCTCAACGGAAGGTACTCGGTCGGAGATCCGTTACAGATGTCTTCCCATCCCTTTTTAAATATGTTATTATGCTATTATAATTTCCTGTATATTTTGTGACATGTTTTGGTTATTTGAACTTGATTATGTTTATCACAGCAATGTATAATATGTAATGAACGTATGAGCTAGTCCCAAGTAAAATAAAGTATTGTATGTTAGTTACATGTGTGGATTTTTAGGGATCCCAGCCACAGAGTTGTCGTAGCTGTTGGCTGGTTGCACGATCCCTCTTGCCCTGGGATAAATCAAGAGAGCTAGGCATGAGAGCCGCAAGTGCCTTTGTAAAGGCAATAGAAACCACATTGCAGGCAGAGGCGGATACCTGTCTGAAAGAAGCATTGCAGTGGAATAGGCAGAGGGGACGATACCTGCCTGGAAGAAGGGCTGCAGCGGATTAGACAGAGGGGATGATACCTGCCTGGAAGGAGAGCTGCAGCCTGGTCGGGTGGAAAAGCTCCAGAAGGAACCCAGTTAAGTCACGATGACTGGGGCAGAAGAGCGTCAGGTTTTTACGGTTCCTGTTAGGCAGAGGTACCCAGCCGGGGTACAGGGAGCTCCACTACAGGATCCCATTTTACATTCTTCTAAAATGTTACCTCCCCCCCAGGTGACTAGGGGTCCCAAAACCCCTAGTCACCCCCTCCCACCCCAAAAAAATTTACCTCTTACCTACGCCCCTCACCCTAAAAATAATGAGGGGGGACCTTTAACTAAGTACCTGTAAATAAAATAAAATTTACCATTTGATGTTTTCTTTCTTCTAAAATCTTCTTTTTTCAGCCTCAAAAAATGCTAAATAAAAAATCCATAATAACCAACGAATAAAAAAAAAAAACAAGCGCAAAAAAATTAATCCATCTTCACCCGGCGAGGGCTCCGCACAGATTGAGCTCTGCAGGGCAGGGGAAGGCTGATAAAGCCTTGCCCCGCCCTGCAATTAGGCTCAGAGCACTCTGATTGGTGGGTTTAAGCCATCCAATCAGAGTGCTCTGACAGGTAAATTAAATCCACCAATCAGAGTGCTCTGTGTCATTTTACACAGCATGGGAAAGTTCTTAGGAATTTTCCCACGCTGTGTAATTTGACTCATAACATCCTGATTGGTTACTTAATCCACCAATCAGAGAGTTATGAGTCTAATTGCAGGGCGGGGCAAGGCTTTATAAGCCTTCCCCCACTCTGCAGAGCTCAGTCTGCGCGGAGCCCTCCATGGGTGAAGATGGTTTAATTTTTTTTGCACTCGTTTTTTTTTTGTTTTGTTTTTTTAATTGCGTCGGTTATTATGGATTTTTTATTTGGCCTTTTTTGGGGCTGAAAAAAGAAGATTTTAGAAGAAAGGTACTTAGTTAGGTCCCCCCTCATTATTTTTAGGGTGAGGGGGGTAGGTAGGGGTTTAATTTTTTTTGGGGGGTGACTAGGGGTTTGGGTACCCTTAGTCACCTGGAGGGGTAACATTTTTTTAGGGCCCCCACCTGCCGCTCAGGGGTGGGGGTCAGGGGGGGAGGACAATAGGTCCCCTCCCCCTATTGGTATTTAGGGCCCCCACTTGTCGCTCAGGGGTGGGAGCCAGGGGGAGGACATTAGTATTTAGGGCCCCCACCCACTGCTCAGGGGTGGCGGCCAGGGGGGAGGACCTTAGGGACCCCCCTTATTAGTATTTAGGGCCTCCACCCACCACTCAGGGGCTGGGGCCAGGGGGGAGGACGTTAGGTCCCCCCTTATTTTACTGTAGGGCCCCCACCCACCGCTCAGCGGTGGGGGCCAGGGGGGAGGACATTAGGTCCCCCCACTTATTAGTATTTAGGGCCCCCACCCACCGCTCAGGGGTGGGGGCCAGGGGGGAGGACATTAGGTCCCCCCACTTATTAGTATTTAGGGCCCCCACCCACCACTCAGGGGTAGGGGATGGGGGGCAATAGCGCATCGTGGGTGGGGGCTCGAGAGGGGGAGACCCTATTTTCTTTTTACAATGAGCAGGCTGCTCACTGTTTAATAGACATGCGAGTAGGGGCAAAATGTACTAATACTAAGTCATTTTTACTGAAATTTAGGTCTTTCAGCCTTTTGGTAGATAATGCCCTAATACCGTGGGAATTAGGAAGTTATCTACTAAGCGGCTGCAAAAGAAGTGCCGAAGTCCCGAAATTCCGAAATGCCGAAGTTCCGAAGTGCCGAAGTTGCAGAATATCTGAAGTGCCGAAGTTCTGAAGTTGCCGAAGTGCCAAATTGATGAAGTTCTGAATTGCGAAAGTCCCGAATTTCAGAATGTCGAACCGAACCGAAAATTGTACCCATGAACATGCCTATAAAACAGTGGGATTAAATTGGGTTATAACAACATTTATAAACCATTTATATTATGAAATAATAAAAAATCTCATTGCAGCCTTCCTGAAATAAACATACAATTATAGAAACAGTTGCTTTTTATTACCAGGCAAATATGTAAATGGTATCATCTATTCTGACTGTTACTCAACTCAGAATAATAGACACATTAACCAAATTCAAATGTGACAGTGACTATGAGTTCGGTTTTGGGTCCAGGACAGTGATGCAGACCAATCATTTAGTGAGTGGTTTTATCGTCACAGTATGAACTTACTGTGAAAATGTTACACTACAGTGTATTTGCAATTATATCAGTATAGAGATCAATTTAAAGTTACAGCACAAACCTTGAAACTGCTGCAGCTAAGGACAACATTTAGAAATTAAAAGTAGTCGTATTTTTTTAAGACTGTGTTACTGTCTTGAATTTTGATTATTAATGATACATTTATTTGTTGGCCATTGCTTTATATAACTATTTGATTACTCTTCTGATTCTGCAAAAGATTATGTTGAACTTTATAAAGCCAAATAAAAACAAAATTAAAACAAAATTATAATAAGTAGTCATAATCTAATGTAAGCTCGATTGAGCAGGGTCCTCTTCAACCTATTGTTCCCGTAAGTTTTTTTTGTAATTGTCCTATTTATAGTTAAATCCCCCTCTCATAATATTGTAAAGCGCTACGGAATCTGTTGGCGCTATATAAATGGCAATAATAATAATAACGTGTTCAGGGAAATGAGATATATTTCAGATTTCAGAGAACCTGATTTACTAAACTGTGTTTGATTTAACTACCATGTGTTCTGAAAAAGAAATATTGAAAACTGTTATAAGTAATCAAATAAAAAGCAAGGGATGCCCCTCAATTTGGTTTAAATCTGTATTCAGTCATTAATTAAATGTGTTTGTTCATTCATTCATCCTTTAATATATTTCAACCCTTGTTGAAAATGCATTAGAAATCTCAAAAATCATCAATATAAAAATAATCACCATTATGCTAAAATTTGTATTCTTGTATGTAACAAACGCTCCTTCCCACAAACTTTTGCCACGAACTCCTGGAAGAGTGTTGAAGCTGGCCTCTTGCCCACCGACTATGGACCGGATCTGAGACACCGTTTTTGGAGTTACCCTGCCCAGCCACCATTAGCAGTTTTCCCTGTGTGCCCCTGGTTCGGCACTTTCCCTTCATCCAAATGGAAAGCCGAACGCTAGCTCCTTGGCGTCCGTTCGCATGAACCAAGCCCACAAATGGTCCTCAGCGGTACTTAGCCGCAACCGCTCTGGAACAAATTTTGGCATTAGGACTTCGTGGGTTCCCAGTCACCTCAGCGGTACTTAGCCGCGAATGTTATGGAACTATTTTCGGCATGAGGTCACCGTGCGGTTCCTGGACAACTTGGTCCGGGATTGTGAACCACTTTGCAGCCTGCCAGGAGAGCGCTTTTTAGAGGGAAGGTGCCTGAGACTAAGGGAACAAACACTACCCGAGAGCCAGGTGGAGCACCCCATATTGCGGACACAGGAGCTCCCAAAAGTAGACCAGCAAAAACACCAAACACCCTGGAACTATTTTAGGCATAGGACCACGTGTGCGACCGGTCAGCACTTTAACAAGGTGGTGTTTACCCTACAATGCATTGATCTGAGTGCTATTTGGAGAACTCGGGTGCTCAGATCAGGGCTATTTGGGTATGCATCATTTGTGGAGTTATTGTATGTTTTTATTATGTTTTGGGGTACTTTTATGTTTTTATATTTTGTGTTG